ACGGATGCTGATAAGCGACTACTCATAGCTTGGAGCTTTTGTGAATGTCGCGGATCAGACCATCGTAAAAAAGGACAGACAGCTATCTACTGTCTTCCGGAAGCAACAACTTCGTGGTGGACTGTTCGAAAAGGGCATGTATGCGGATCTTGTGGGTGAGGGGTGGGACAACCCCGACGAGCTTCGAGAGCAATACAAGCCAACCGCAAAGGGTGAGAGACTTATTGATGGTGTCATTTTGGTGACCGCAAGCGTGAAGGGTGATTTGGATACCAAGATCAGCGAGGTGAAGCAACATTTCCTAGCCGAGGAGGGAGAACCTCTCAACCCAGACACCTATGTCCTCAGCAAGAACCCCTCTATCGAGTTTACCTTGACCAGAGAGGGAAATGTTCGTCCAGGCCAGATGAAAGGAAAAGAACAGTAAGTACTTATCAAAAGCCGGAGAGTCTTCACGGGCCAAACTTACCTTTATATTCAGCTTTGGATTCAAGGATGGCATTAGCCAGCCGATACTCGAGGGCTGGGATGAAAGACAACCCGTTGGAAAAGAACCCAAGGCCACAAAGCCAGGGTAAGTGTTCTCAAAGTCGTTAAAAATGAAGGGCCCTCAGACTGATGAAATGCAGGTTGATTGTTTGCGGGTACGAGGGCGACCCTATGGGCCAACCGGCGTGGGCCAAGGATGGCAGTTTCCTTGTTTTCCGTGACCTCCAGCAACTTGTTCCTGAATTTGACGAGTAAGTGACCTCTGGTTGTTCCATTTTTACGTATTTGGCATTGACCGAGTTTATAGGTTCATGGAGGAAAATGCGAAGAATGCGCCTTTCGCTCAAGACCACGACAAGCCAGCTGAGAAGCTTGCTGCATACTTGATGGGAAGATGGAAGAACGGTTAGTGGCAAAAGTCAATCCTGTTGAAGATTCATGCAACAATTTGCTGAACAATATCTAGGAACCCCTGTGGATGAGTCTCCTCACGATGACTCGAACGAGAGTCTATTCACATCGAACAACTTCGACTACCACCCCGTCGAGGAGCACAACAAGTGTCCCTTCGCGGCACACACCCGTAAAATGAGACCACGAGCTGACTTGGAGCACGACCATGCTGTTATTATCCGCCGAGGAATTCCATATGGCGACGAAGTCTCAGCCCAAGAAATGACCAACCGGAAATCGGCCGCCGACAAGGAACGTGGACTTCTGTTCGCCTGCTACCAGAGTGACATCCGCAATGGATTCAACTTCTTGACTACCCGTAAGCACTCAAATCTTGAACTCAGACATGACGTTTGACAAAGGGGCCTCACTAACATTTGACTTCTTCCAGGCTGGGCGAGCAACCACCACTTCCCCGACCGCAAGAGTAACTTTGTCGGTGATGAAGGTCCTGGTATTGATGCGTTTGTGGGCCAGAGACTGGACCACCACCCGCCTCGCTCTATCGGTCTTCCCGATGGCAAATATCCTACTGAGGCCCGCATGCCCCTCGATAGCTGGGTTGTTCAAAGGGGAGGCGATTACTTCTTTGTGCCTTCTATTTCAACATTGGAGAACGAGCTCACAGGCTCTGGCATCTTTGACCAAGAGAAACTGAAGAGTCTTCGTGAAGATAACGCCTAATTATGGGGAATTCGAAAGTCATCACTGTAGTAGATATCGTGCTATATAGTCTTGATATAATCAATATTCTGAGGGGAACATTTCTCTTTAAAATATAAATTTGCCCTCTTGGGTATCATGTCTGCTGCTGGGTAATATAGAGCTTAAGCACCGTCAAGATTGCGGTTTCCTTGGTTTATAACCAAGTTCTAAAGGACTCCCATCCGACCCTTCCAGCACACGTATGACCCACATCTTGACGGACTACAGCTCGCCGCGCAGAAGCTGTCTGTCGGAAGGAGCTGGAAGATAGGTTGTGGCGTTGGACGTCTCGAGGTCGTCGATCAGGGCGCGATCGAAGCTGAGGGATATTTAAGGGACAAGAAGCGGAGTCAAAGTCTCACCTTTACATCAAAGTTTTATTCTCGAGTATCACTGAGACAACAAATGTATATTTCCGTCACTGGAAAGCACAAGGCGAGAGATGGTGAATGGTTGGCTTGTCCGAAGTCGTTATAGATCCGAGGTTGCTGCCTTAGGCACCAACTCCGCATAGCCAAGGTCCCCTTCGGAGACCCCTCAACTTACCGTGATTCCCCGACACAGCTTGAATGGTGTCGCACCCCATGATTCTGCTTGAAAATGGTATCCGAATCTCCTAGGCCTTTGGACATTGACGTCTCACATTCCACTATGGAGTCGCCACCAGCCATTGCCGCCTTGTTCGTCATTAGCTTCGACATCAGAGCCGGGTAATTCCTCCTCCCTCCCCTAGGCATCATAGCTCTCAAGCTTAGGAACCTATTGCTGACATTCTGCGACAATAGATATGTCGTCTCGTGGAAGCGAACTGCGCCGGGAGGTGAGCAATCAATTATCTAGCCGAGGCTACAATCGCTCCGACACGCGATACTGACTCCCGAGTGAATAGTTGAGGTTGAAGGGGTTGTGGAATACAAATCGCTGCCCTCTGGGCTGCACAATGTGTCTGAAGACCTAGTGTATGTTTTTTTTAGCGTTTCCAAAAGCTTTGGATCCGATCTTTGCTGACGCGCTCCTTTAGGTACTTCGTGCATGAACAGTATGCCGGTATCAGCGCGTTCCTCAATCATCCCGCCACAGAGGCCGAACGCAATGCGAAGATGTTTGCGATCGGAGTTCTGGTGCCCCTCAGTACCGGAAGACTTGGGAAAAGCTGGCGACACGCTCCAAGGCTCCAGGAACTGACACAGTTCGTATCTCCAGGCCTCGGCGATGGACGAAATCCCGACTGACACTGGTGCTTGGTAGGAAATACGCTGAGAACGTGTCGGATATGCAGTATCTATGCGATTACTGGGACACATACAGGATAGGAGAGACCGATTCTGCAGCGCCTGACTCCCCCCTCGACTCGCCTCTTAGTCTTCGATTCCGACCCGGCGAGCGACCAGACCACCTGGGTCGCAACCGCGCGTTCAGTGATGCAATGGTGCTGGAAACGTTCAGGCCGGCCCTGACACCATTCCACCCCGCTTCATCGCTTCCAGATTTCACAGAGAGCTTCGGACCTTTGATCTTCCCCCTATACAGAGCAGCTTTGCTGCGCAAGCGGATTCTCTTTATGGGCGAGGCTCCTGTACACTCGTCGTGCAAATACGGTACGCTCCTATGCGCATGGTAATCGATCTACTGCTAATTCAGATCCAGTATATGATCTATCTCTATTAGCATCACTGCCAAACTCCCTCCTACAGCTACTCCCCGACGATCGCATACCACCACTACGCCCCCGCCCCCTCTTTAACGTCGGAATTCATGATATCCCCTACCTTTCCTCCTTCGATCCATCGCGCAGCATCAGAGACCCCGAGACAGATCCGAGCTGGATCGCCTGCTCAACCGATACCGTCTTAACCATGAAACCCGACCTCTTCGACATTCTTGTCGCCCTCCCCGCACCATACTCACAAGAAACTGCCGAGCGAGCCTTCCCCAAAATCTCCCTCGTCCATAACACAGGCGGCAAACCCAACCAAATCCAACAAATCGAGCTCAAAGCAACCCAGCGCGACGCCCGTCGCTACGCAATGCTCCGCCGCGGACTCCGCCAATTCTCCAACGACCGCCCCACATCCCTAGAACAAGACCCCTCAGACACAGACTCAACCTATTCATCCAGCGCCGTCGTCGAGCCTATCTCCTGGACTCGGCTGGCCTACACCTCCTTCATCTGGTGGGCCTCTGCCGGCGAGAACCGCGACGGCCTCTCGGAGGAAGAGGAAGAACAGCAGATAGAACAAGACTCCCGCCTTCTGGCAAGCGTCGAGAGTCTCTCCCGCCCACCCTACAACTCAACCTCCCACGCCGACCCACCCCGCAACCCCCTCCAAGAAGAGCAGCAGCCGCTCGAAGTCGCGCTGGTCGCGTACTTCCGCCGTCTAACGTCGCAGATCTTCGTTACGTTGGCTGGCGCCATCGCCCGCTATGATAGCGACATCGATGACGATGCGTATAATGATGCGCCGTACATCGATGAAGATGATGAGGACACTGAGCCTTCACTCTCCATGTCTCGCCAGTCTATCCATGGCGACGAGGGGACCTCGCCTTTGCTCCGGCAGCGGTCGAGTGTGAGTGGGTCTGCGAGTCATGGGTCGAGAGCTGGTCACCGTAGCAATGGTTCGCATGACACTGTCACGATTACAGTGGCAGATATGGCAGAGATAGGGCTCGATGTGTGGAGTGTGACGGACCGTGTCTTTGTTGAGGAGTTGGTTTCTTTGTGGTGGGGTCGTGATGCGAAGGTTGATAGTGCGAGGATTAGATGCTGTGGGATCTCGGTTTTGTAAAGGCTGGTTCTTTGATCCTTGAGATCCCCTTTGTGAAGATCTTCATGAGAGGATATTGTTCCTTGTCAGGCATATATTATACGTTGTATGTCAATATCAATTTCTCCATATGGCTGATTTGATTCTAGTTCTGACAGAAGGTTGTTTTAAATGTGTGTGTTTTTAAAACTGAGAGTATACCTAGGATTGTGCGATGAAGAAGACTGCTACCATGATAAAATAGAATTATCTCTCGACAATGTCAAAACCCATGTACAGAGGAAGAAAATGAGACGGACATAGGAAATGTAAAAGAGGGACACAAACAGTGAAGCCGAGATTGCATCGAAGGAAGGACAGACAGTTGGGGAATTAAATCCGTAGTATACTGAGGCTCATGACATCGGAGCTAAAAGATCCAAACACAAAACAAACAAAACATATTGCTTCCAATCGCCATGCAAATGAAATAAAGACAAGTTGATGCAGCGCCGGGGGGTATTAGAGGAAACGACAAGCACCGGCAGACCATGCAAAAGAAAGGCATAAATATGCATCATGAGATATACATCCCAGGGGCATTCATTAACGTCGGAACATCCGAACAGGAGCGCTCATATCTCGGCGTTCACCAAGTTCATTCTCGGTCCTCGAATCAGCCCGAAGATTGGGGTTTGGAAGGCGTCGAGGTCCCCGAGCAGGGGTCGGGTTGGATCCCGCTGAGGCACGAGCTGCACGGCCAGGCTCGCTGGCACTGACTGATCGCTGCTTGCTATGGGTACGGCCTCGTCGTGCCCTGATCTGTGCGAGTGCTTGTTCGCGGTCGATGGGTGTGTTGGGAACGCCAGGGTGTGAAGTGCGCTGTGACTGTGGCTCTTGTCGAGAAGGAGCTCTCTTTGGGGGGTTGATGGGCTGGCGGTATCCATGGGGATCTCTCTCGACACGTCTCGACGGCCTTGCCTCCACAGACGGCGGTGCACGCGAGTGTGCGGCGACACCATCTGATTGGATGGGACGAGGCATTCTGGCCCGAGTCGGCTCCCCAGAGGGGGTAAACGAGTCGACCTGTTGGTCGGGTGATGCAGAGGCATCAGCATGAACTTTGTGGACATCTGGCTGAGGCTCGGCGAGATCAGGTGCGTCGAAAAAATCCAACCGCAGAGGTCTGACGTTATCTCGGAGAGGAGATGGGAATGTCGTGAATGTGCCGGTCTCTGGAGAAAACGTGACTAGGGGCTCGGCTGGCACCTGCATCTTGGGAAGATCCGTGGGTTCGGCCTTCACACTAGACGCGGTGTGCTGATGGACAGGAACAGGTGGCGCCGCCAGAGGTGTACGACTTGGCTCGGGTTCGTCCTGGTGGACACTGTGTTGAGGAGATCCCACCTGGGGGGGTGGGGGCCTGGTGGACAGGAGATCGGTGGACGGGAGGTGGAGGAGGGGGAGGGCTGGCCTCGGGGGTGCTAGCTTGGTGAGACTGTGCTTGGTCCACACGGGCTTGCTGAATGCTTGCTTGTTGAGCACGAGCTTTCTCTTCCGCCTCAATCTGAGGCTTTTGAAATTTGTGATAGTACTCAGCGTCGTAGATGTAGCGACGACCTTGGCTCTCAGCAAGCCTGCAAGAGCAGCGTTCGAACTGGCACTCGATATTCAGGAAATGAACCATATCTTCAGCTGCGACTCTGCGACGACGTTCGAAGTCTAGCTCTTCCTTCATCCCCTCCAAGAGATCCTCGTCCATTTCAGCACCCGTCTCGGATTCGGGTTGTTTACTCTCTGTCTTTGGTGTAAAATCAGACAAACGTGGGCGTTTGGGAGGAGTGGCTTCTGCATGATCTTCTTCACGTGCCGGAGCTGGGGATAAAACAGATCCCGCAGCGGCTCGCTTCGGTCTGCGCGGGGTGGTCAAAAAGGCGAGGTCGCCCTCTGCTATTGACAGTCTTCCGAAATCCTCTTTCCGAATCTCATGGGCGCGGACTTCGAGGGTGCTCGAGCGGTTGTCTGTTTCGAGGGCACGGAATTTCTCTTTCAGGACTTCGAGTTCCTCTGTAAGACCAGCCAGAGCATAGGCGCGTTCGAATGCCTCCTGTTTGGCCTTATCCTTCGCCTCGCGTTCTGCCCCCACTTCATCTTTCAGTGCTCTGACCTCTGATTTCGCTTGTTTCAATTCTTCTTGAAGTTTGACCAAGGTCGATCCGGCCCGAAAAGCTTCTTTCCGGGCTTTTCGGATTTCCTTTTCGAAAATTGATCGTTCGTGGGCCTGGCGTTCTTTTGTCCCGTGAAGCTCTTCCAGTAATGACTCGAGGCGTTCACTGATCCGGCGTTCTCGTGTTTGTGCTTCGGATAAATCTTCTTGTGCGGTGGCTAGGGCCGACTCGGCTTCCTCGCGGCCCAAGATAGCCCGCTGTAGAGCGGCATTATTTGCTGCAGAGTTGGCCGGGCTGCCTCCTTGAGAGAGGCCATTTAAAAACGCCACTTTGGCTTGAACTTCCGAAACACCCCGGGTGCTCTTGTGGTGTAGTGTGAGAAGATCGGAAGGTAGTGAGGGAGATGCGGGTATGTTTTGTTGATTCATGCGTTCCGGCGAAACCGGATTCAGTGCTTTTGAGGGGCTCAGGATGGGACGTGTTGGAGACTCCATCTCAGATACTTGACAAATAATGGATCCAGCCGATGATGATCACAAGGTCAAAGAGTCATCACAGGATTGAGGAAGGAGATTCACGAGGGAAAATCACCGTTGTGGAGTTAGGGTGGTGACGCACCCACAGAAACATGTTTATTACCCTCTTTGGAATGATCAGGTGACTGTTGCCCTGGTGACTCTCTGCACCTTCCCCGATATGGTTAGACACTCACGTGCGATAATCCTCCACATCAGGACTAGCGTCACCTTTGGCTATGTCTGTGCGTCTTCAGGCGGGCATTGTCGATATCAAAATTTACTGAGGGGCTACACTGCGAGTATCATTTTCATCCATCAATATGCATGAAATTGTCACACTTCAGCTGGGTCAGCGGGCTAACTATCTAGCAACACACTTTTGGAATCTACAGGTACTGTCATCTACCGTTGGATGCGAACTTTTATCTAATATCTAACTAGGAATCATACTTCACATACAACGATGGAGAACAATCCGATGTTGATCACGATGTTCACTTTCGACCGGGTGTTGGAGCAGATGGCTCTGAGACTTACACTCCACGCACAGTAATCTATGATCTGAAAGGTGGATTTGGAACGTTGCGCAGATACAATGCACTTTACGAGCTCAGTGAAGACTCCACAGCAGGTCAAGGGTTATGGTATGCGGCTCAAATGGATGGACAAGTTTTTGAAACTAATATCTGGCAGGGATGGACGAGAGGTAGTCCAAAAGCAAACTCCAATCCAACAAAGTGAATATCAGAAAAGCTTGGATCTAGGAACTACAGCCCCTCGCCTGACTTCGGAGGCTGTACGCTACTGGTCAGACTATAACAGAGTGTACTATCACCCGAGGTCCATTGTTCAGCTAAATGAATATGACTTGAACTCCCAGACTATGCCCTTTGAGGATTGGAATGTCGGGGAAGAGTTATTTAAAGACCTTGACAAGGAGCATGACCTGCTCGACCGTGACCTGAGACCTCTCCTTGAGGAATGTGACCACTTGCGGGCGCTGCAACTGTTCTCCGGGTCAGATGATGCCTGGGGCGGATTCACTGCCCAGTATATGGAAAGACTGAGAGATGAATTCGGAAAGAAAAGTATTTGGGTGTGGGCTATTGAAGACGGCACTAAAATCCAACGGGTAAGTGACACAGTAGTGCTATTTTGGAGAATCGCGAGCTCGGTTGGCTAAGTTTCGAACTTTGTGTAGCATCACCAGTTCAAGAAGGATACGAACAAGGCCAGGTCACTCTGCTCGATCTCGCCACTGGCCTCGCTCTATTCTCCAATTATCGACGTTCCGCATAACCTGCCCGGTTACCTCAAAGTTGATCGCCAATCAGAATGGCAGAAAACAGCCCTGCTCGCCTCAGCTATTGAGACGGTCACACTGCCTTCCCGATTGCGGCCATATCAACATTTCGAGGCCTCCCTCGCCGGGGAAGATGGCACGCACACCATCTTCGAATTACAATCTTCTATCAACAAAATCAAAATCAATGACGGTCAGACTAAGGAAGCCTCCAATGAGGATGGGCCGACCAAAGCCGAAATTGAATTTGACATTGACTTCGCCTATGACGGCGAGTACAGCAAGGGCGCTCACACTTTCAATCAAGTCCAAGTAACCCGTGGAGAAGAACCGGAAAGGGACAGTGAGTCCACGGAGGACACAGACGTTGGGTACCTTCGCAAACTTAGACGGTTCAACTCAGAGTCGATGCTGCAAAGGTAGGTTTCCCCATTTTGCGCATTTACTTTCACTGTCTCAGCCAGGACGCTCACATTCTATACCACCATTCTAGTTTCCACACGCCACTCAGTATGCCTATTCTTGACAGTTTCCCTGACGACATGTTCCCCACCCCCGAGGCAGGCACTGGGGTAAATGTATTTACGGCATTGACCGCCTCGACAAGGACAGCTCAGAGGATCAAGGCTATCTCGGCAACGGCCGGACGTTTGGTCTCTGTAGATGAGCGTGAGGCCTTGGTAAATGGACTTGGCGAGATTCGAGAGTACTACGAGACGGGGTGGAGTAGCGGCTCGGACGACGATGATGATTAGACAAAGAACATATGTTGATATCATCACAATCTAAAAATGACAGGGTATGCAGTTTCGGGCGGTATTTGCCTCCCATTGTGTAGGTCTAATATACGAAGTATGCACCACTGTCTACCCCGGAAAAGACCTGGAAAGATTCTGTGGCTTAAGGCTGATCTATTGGATCATATTTTCCCCAAACCCTGAGACTTTAGTGTTTAAGACATATCCTAATTTTAGATACTTCCAAGGTATATGAACCTTGGAAGACATACTATGGATACTATGGGGTAGAGTATAAATGGAAAGTTCCTTGGTAATATTTGAACCTTCCAAGGTTGGAATGCCCCAGCTTTTTCTGAATGGACGAATCCCTCCGTATTCCTGGAAGAAGGCTGGTATAACTTCAAGGATCCCAAATGTTTCTTGTTGTGTGACTTCATAGTATTGTGCAATAGTCTAAGTACATATACAACGCTTAACTAACTATGTTATGTAACTAGTGTATGTTGTATAACTAACTAGATAGATAAATATGTAAGTTTATCCTCAACAGCTCATCTACCCCGCCATTATTCCTTTTTCTTGTCAAACCGAGATTGAGCGCGTTATCAGTCCGATTGGAAATTCTAATAGTCTGGAGTGGGAGAATGTTGGAATAGATCGACTTCCCATTATACAGCTGTGGAAGAATAGGATACCTAGGTACACATATGTAGTCCTATGAGACATATTGTATACGTCAGATGTAGGGAACGAACATTGAAAAAGGGGGAAAGAGAATATCTCAGGGCAGAACCAAGATCAAAGAGGGGGAAAAAAAAGCGAAAAATCGAAAAATAGAAAAATAGAAAAATAGAAAAATAAACAACACGTTGACATCACCACTATGTGGGAATCTATCGTTAACTAACTACGGAGTAGTTAGTTAGTTAAGGGGGATTCATGTGGGAACCCATAACTAACTATCGTACCAATCGCGGGGGGGCCTCGGGAACTTCCCTGCATGTTTTCTATTGGGGAAAGAGAAAAAGAGACCGGGATCTCTAGGGCTGTCCAGGGCGTGTTCCACAATATCCACTGTCCTGCGTTCACCCTTTTGCAAGACTTTCAACTGTTTCCTGCATGAGACACTTTGTCCAGGGGCACTGTGTTGTGATTGCTCCGTACCCCAACCAAGTCCAGCCTCTAGATGGGCATCACCGATATCGGGTCACTGTTCCATCTATTCTTTTTTCTGCCTTACCAGAGCTCCAAGGTTTACTCCCACTTACTTTGCTTTAGACATACTCTATACACAGTTTCAATTTCCACTTGTCATTCGTTATGTTTCCCCACACTTTTACTTGGGCAAATGGGGTTATGGGCCGAACTTAAGAGCTAATTCATAGCTCGGTCTCATGACGTGGAGAAGAGACATTTTTCATGGGTTCCCATCGCTATGGAGGGTCAAGACAAAGGGAAACAGACAACAAAAAAATGACAGAAGATGGCCAATATTGACGGAGGCTGGGCACGTACTACTCGGTACTGTGACGGAAAATCCCAGGGCTATCTCCCGCATTGCCAAGAATCGACCTTCATCATTAGAGTCAATTGACCTATCCGCCCATCCATCGGATTCTGGAAACTTTGACTTTAGACATTCGAACTCAGGTTTTTGGGGTCGACAAACCACACGCCAATATCTGAGACCTGGTCAAGTTATCATTGGCTCAACCCCAGTACCTGGTCGTCTAGTCAACTGGACTCGTGTACATGCGCTAGCTCTCGCTTCTGCATCCAAGTTCTGGTACACCATTTACCATGACCAGCCTCTTGGCTGGGAATATGCGGGTCGACTGCTAAATATCCTGAATACTTCTCGTTTATGTCGGTTCCGGTTAGCGTTAGAATATGAGCGCCACTTATTGTTATTTTTCTGACTTCCGATTCTGAGTGCCCAATATGGTACCATTTGGTCCACACTAACCCAATGGCCACCAGAACAGAGTTATCAAGTGAGCTAACCAGTCAGGAATTGGAGCATTGGAGCTCCGAGGAGACATGACCCCAGAGGCACATATAAACCTGCCTTATCCCCGTCTGCTCCCAGCCTCGGTCTTAGAAATATTTCAATTGTCTATATTGCTCGTTTAGGAACTCTCTCGCTACGGTTCCTATCGTCCTTCGTTTAAGGAACATATCAGCCCTAGCTATTCTAGTATATAACAACCTTCGTTTGTTAGTCAAGATGCGGGGTGCTCCAATCATTCTGCTCTACGCCGCTACCTTGGCGTCTGGTATGGTCATTACCCCCAGACACCCTGGCGAGGCTCACATTGCTGTCCGCAATGGTTCCGACCATGACACCGGTAGTCCTTGGTGGGGCGGTGGCCAGGGAGATCACGGCGATGGTGGTGAAGGCGGCGGTGGTCTCCCAGAAGAGACCACTCCCCATGAGGCTAAGACTCCGCCTGTTGAGACTCCCCCACCTGTCGAGACAGACACGCCTACTGTTCCTCCAGCTGTGACGCCCACCTCCACACCTGTTGAGACCCCCCCGGTTGAGACTTCTACTCCGTCTGAGACCGACACGCCTACTATTCCCCCAGTCGTGACGCCCACCTCCACACCTGTTGAGACTCCTCCGCCGGTTGAGACTTCTACCCCGTCTGAGACTGACACATCTACTGTTCCCCCGGTTGTAACGCCTACGTCGACCCCGGGTGAAACTGATACTCCTACCCCGCACGCGGAGACCTCCACTCCATGCGAGACCGACACACCTATTATTCCCCCGGTTGTGACACCTACCTCGACTCCATGCGAGACTGATACAACAACTCTGCCTCCTTCTACAACACCGACCTCAACTTCTCATATGACTGATACTCCCACTTCTCCTCCGGGGAGTTCAACCCCATGCGAGACTGATACACCCACCTCTCCTCCTGCTAGCTCAACCCCATGCGAGACTGACACCACATCTTTGCCTCCAACTCTTCCTCCTTATACAACGCCGACCTCAACTCCTCATGTGACTGATACTCCCACTTCTCCTCCGGGGAGTTCAACCCCATGCGAGACTGATACACCCACCTCTCCTCCTGCGAGCTCAACTCCCTGCGAGACCGACACTCCTACATCGCCTCCTCCTATCAGCACTACGACTGGCCAGACCGACACTCCCACCACGCCTCCTCCCGCTTCCACCACTCCCTATGAGACCGAGACCCCCGTTGGCACTCCTCCGGTGATCGTAACCACCACCTACACCACTACCACCTGCCCAAGTAAGTAAAATTCTGACTGTTCCATCAAACAATTGCTAACAAGACCAGTAACCTGGACCACCGTAACAAGCGGCACGTCAACCTACACCCATCCCGTGACCCAGACCAGCACGATCACCGTGACGTCTATTTCTACCTGCACTGAGGGTTGCGCTGAGCCCACAGCCCCTCCTGCGAAGCATACGACTCCCACCGTTGATTCCACAACTTCTGTCGTGGTGCCTCCTCCAGATAGTAAGACTACTGTTCCAGCCACTGAGCCCAGCGCCCCGGCTACTGAGCCTACTATCCCGGCCACGGAGCCCACTGCTCCATCTACTGAGCCTACTGCCCCGGCACAGTCGAGCCCTATTACTACTCCCACCTCCGCTCCCCCTACTTCCTCCTCGCCAGTTTTCAATAGTGCTCCCGCTATTCAGAAGTCGGCCGCAGCCTTCATCCCTGGCTTGGTTCTGCTGTTTGCTCTGCTCTAATTGACCTACACAGAAGTTGATATGTCAGACGAGATATGATATCATTTTTTCTTGGCAGTGGCTTGTGAGGAACGGGATTATGATCTTGACACACACAAAAAAGCATTACAAAAACATACAAAAAAATTGTATTCGAAAATATCCATTCTTGAAGGATGCCAGCATGATGGCTATCAATGAGTTTCTTAACGACTTGACGCTCCCTATCCATGATGTATGGAACCCTAATTCTAGTCATATATATATTGGTCTATGAATTGATATTTATTCACATTTACCCTCAATCTCCATCATGATTATAAACTTCGAACATTCACAAGTTGTCTAGTATACTCCTAGTATAACTACAATTCAGCCCTGTTTGAAATTAGGGCTGTGACATAATGCGATAACGATAAGGAGTGCAAACATCAAACATCGGTGTTTGCATGATGACCCGTGTCCTCATCCAACAGCTCTTTTTAGGCTTCATGTTACGTTACTGCCAAGTGGCCACAGTATCCCTTTGCTTTCAAATGGCCTAATTCTGAGTCATTTTTCCGATTTTCTTCCCCTGTTCATCTTCTCCCACTACCTATCGCTCAAACCAACAGCAATCTTGAGCTATCCCATAGCTCCATCCGACCATCCCTCTGGCGCAAAGCTAGCCCGAACCCCAACACACTATTCGGCAAACCGGTAGGGTGTTTAAATATCTGTCAATTTGTCTGTATATGTGTCAAAAAGGGTAATTTATCCCTATTGAAATTGCGAGCAACTCCCTAAATCAACAATTTGGCTGATTCCCGCAGCCCGGAGCCTAAACATAGATCATGGCGTTCTTAAATCGCCGACAATTATCGAGCTCGCCAATGTTATCCCTCGTGGTCCTCCCATTCCTCATATTCCTCCTCAGCTTCGCTGGGCCAGCTTCTGCCGCCGGATCGGCCGTTCTGGGCATCGACATCGGCACCGAATATTTCAAAGCTGCTCTCGTGAAACCCGGCATTCCGCTTGAGATCGTTCTTACTAAAGATTCGAAGCGCAAGGAGTCCGCTGCTGTCGCTTTCAAGCCTACAAGAGAGAGCGATGCGCCTTTCCCCGAACGGTTCTATGGTGGCGATGCGCTCGCCCTCGCCGCTCGGTACCCGGACGATATTTACATCAACTTGAAGACTCTGCTGGGCGTTCCATTCAATGATGGCAACGAGGAGGCAGTTAAGGCTTATTGGAGCAGGTTCCCCGCGTTGAAATTGGAGTCCGCCCCCGATGGTCGCGGCTCTGTTGCTCTCCGCAGCAACCGGCTAGGGGAGGAGCAGAAGAAGGAAGCCTTTTTGGTGGAGGAGATTCTGGCAATGCAGTTGAAGCAGATCAAGGCCAATGCTGATGCGTTGGCTGGAAAGGGATCCGATGTCCGCGATGTCGTCATTACCTACCCTGTGTTCTACACCGCGGAGGAGAAGCGCAGCCTGGAGTTGGCGGCTGAGCTGGCGGGTCTGAGGATCCAGGCTCTTGTCAGTGATGGTTTGGCTGTCGGTCTGAACTACGCCACCAGCCGTACTTTCCCCAGTGTTTCTGATGGCGAGAAGCCTGAATACCACATCGTATATGACATGGGTGCCGGATCTACGACCGCGAGTGTTTTGCGGTTCCAGAGCCGCAAAGTTAAGGATATTGGCAAATTCAACAAGACTGTCCAGGAAGTTCATGTTATTGGCTCTGGTTGGGAGAAGTCACTTGGAGGTGACTCCCTAAATGGTCTCATTGTGAACGACATTGTCACCCACTTGGTTGAGGAAAAGAAGCTCAAGGATAAGGTTACTCCAGCTGAAATCAAGGCTCACGGAAAGACTATGTCCAGACTCTGGAAGGATTCGGAGAAGCTCCGACAGGTTCTGAGTGCCAACACCGAGACTTCGACAAGCTTTGAGGGACTGTACGATGAGAATGTCAACTTCAAGTACAAGTTGAGCCGTGCCAACTTTGAGAAGATGGCTGCTGAGTACGTTGCCCGTATTGGAACCCCAGTGCAGCAGGCTTTAACAGCGGCCGGTCTTGAATTGAGCGATATCGAATCTGTCGTGCTTCACGGTGGAGCCATTCGGACTCCCTTCGTCCAGAAGCAATTGGAGAACTTTGTCGGCTCTTCTAAGAAGATCAGAACCAACGTCAACGCTGATGAGGCGGCTGTGTTTGGTGCTGCCTTCAAGGGAGCTGCTCTGAGCCCTAGTTTCCGTGTTAAGGATATTCGCGCCGGTGATGCCGCTACATACCCAATCTCCTTGAAGTGGAACTCGGACGACAAGCAACGGAACCAGAAATTGTTCACCGCCACTTCCCAGGTTGGTCCCGAGAAGCAAGTCACTGTGAAAAACCTGGAGGATTTCGAATTCAGCTTCGCCCAGCATGTTTCCCAGGATGGAGAACAGCCTATCCTCAGTGTCCAAACCCTGAACCTCACTGCATCTGTTGCTAAGCTCAAGGATGAGTTTGGCTGCACCGATTCAAACATTACCACGAAGTTCACGATCCGCCTCAGCCCCATGGACGGTCTTCCCGAAGTTGTGGCTGGTACGGTTAGCTGCGAGGTGGAGTCGGAGAAGAAGGGAATTGTTGAAGACGTCAAGGGCTTCTTCGGCCTCGGCAAGAAAGATGAGCAGGAGCCCCTCGGCGAAGATGGTGAGCCTCGTGAATCGATCACCCTCGAGTCCGAGACAGAGTCCTCCACTTCATCCTCCGCCAGTTCCAAGTCCACCACCACGTCCACCAAGGACGCAAAGAAGGATGCTAAGAAGGACGCAAAGGCCACTCCTCAGGTCAAGCTTGAAGTTATCCCGATCAGTCTGAAGTCTGTCACACTTGGAACTCCGGCGCCATCAGTCGCAGAGCTCGGTCGCATCAACGGCCGCCTTCTTGCCTTCGATAATTCGGACCGTGATCGTATCCTGCGCGAAGAAGCTCTTAATGAATTGGAATCTTTCATCTACCGTAGCCGAGACCTCGCCGATAACGAGGAGTTTATCAAGGCAGTCAAGCCGGATCAGCTGACTGTTCTCTCCGAGAGAGTTTCCCAGGCCAGCGACTGGCTGTACGAAGAGGGTGACAACGCCAAGACTGCCGATTTCCAGTCGAAGCTCAAGGACCTGAAGGCCATCGTCAACCCTGCACTGAAGCGGATGAAGGAGAGCTCTTCTCGCCCAGCACGCGTGCAGTTGCTCAAGGACATGCTAAAGAACGCCGAATCCATGAAGGAATTGATCAAGAACCAGATCGATAACGACGAGCAGATCTACTCCTCTTCCCTCTCGGCCTCAAGCGCATCCTCCACCTCCACTTCTACCGAAACTAGCACTAGCTCATCGACCTCAGCCCCCGCCGCTTCTGACGAGGGTCTCGATGATCTCGATGAAGACGCATACTCCGCTTCTTCTTCATCATCCACCACATCTACAAAGAGTGCTGCTACGGCCAAGCCCACAGGCCCCAAGTACTCCCTCTTTACCCCCCGCCGACCTCACGGCCATCACACAGGCCTACGAGTCCACCAACCCCTGGCTCGAAACCCAGCTCGGTCTGCAAGAGAAGCTTACCGAGTCTGACGACCCTGCTTTGACCGTTGTGGAGGTTGACTCACGGCTGCGCGAGTTCGAGCGTATCCTTAACCGCATGTACGAGAGGATGACCGCAAATGCTGGCCAACAGAAGAAGAGCAGCAGCAGCGGAAAGAAAGCATCTAAGGAAAAGAAAAAGCCCGAGGCCGAGAAGAGCAAGGGTAAGGGCAAGGATCAGCCCGAGGAGAAGGAGGATCTTCCCAAAGATGAGCTGTAAAATAACCATCCCCTTGTTCCTTTTCACTATGCATTTTACATTTGTTTACTTTTTCTTTTTACATTTGACTCGGCTAGAGTATTTCATTCTAACGCAACCCATGTATCATGCACACACTACATCCTGGAAGATAGAAAAAAGACCTACAATGGAGTTTGGGCTGAGCGTTAGCAGTTTTATTGTCTTTGGTCCTCCTGTTCTCTTGTACTATAACGACCTCTGCGGAGCACTTAGGCTGCGGTATAGGTACCATGCGACAAAACCCCCTTTACAGGTATTATTGGTGGCTAGATGCTTGATTATCCCTAAACTTTTGAAAAGAACATCTAAAACGAATATCCTAGGGCCTTACTTAGAAGTTGCCAATTATTCTAATCTCCGTCCCATCCATATATCACCTTTAGACCTAGACGCTAGAAAAACATGGATGCAGATAAAGTAGGATGAAATTGTCATTCCTACTCTAATCATTGTCCCATCCTATATTTCTATCAAGAAACCACTTCAACGGACTCCAAAAAGCCAAGCGCATTAGTCCAGTCTCGAGAGATCTTTTTTAGATTCCCGCGCCCCCACCGGCACCAGCACCAGCACCACCTCCGGCACCGAAACCACCCCCAAAGCCAGCACCGAGGCCTCCGCCGATTCCACCGCCGCCACCGCCGCCGCCGGCCACGGAGCCGCCAGCACCACCACCGCCGCCAGCACCACCAGGGCCTATCATTATCACTCAATTAGAAGTGTTCCAGCCAAATACATCGTTGGGGTGACTGGTGACATACCGGTAGGAGCAGCAACAGCGGCCAGAGCCAAGCTGAAGAGCGCAATGAGGAAGTTGGACTTCATGGTTTTAAATCGAGCTGTTGTGAAATAAGGGTTAATGATCAGCTCGAGTGAGGTGGTAACAAGGCTTACCGAATGACTTTGCAAGAAATCTTGGTAAATATGTAGAACTGATATCAGGAACAGTGGGCGAATACCTTCATTTTATACCTCGAGGGTCAGCATCATCTTCCTTCCGGAGTACAAGTCCGATCAAGGAGACATTTCAGCTCGGAGATGTTGAGTGCATTTCATCGGCATGGTGCATATGTTGTTGTACACAGGGACATAGCGGCCAGGGTTACTTTCGAATTTAATTCGCAGCCGTGCATTAATTGATGATGTCGCAGGTTGACCTCGCATCGAACCAGGGAGTAAGTTGTTTCAGCAAATCTCGTTCGCCAGTGAACGGCCGTTCCTATTCGGGGGATAGGTCGCTATCATTAGTATCCAATGGCAGCTCGGTATCGTCGGTTCCTTCAAAGATTTGGGGAGTCATAACGTTAAATTACATAGCTAATAACTAGAGTATAGTAGGTTATAATCAAATATAGCGGGTGATGCTACCACGAATAACTACAATCTAGTTACAGTTATAAGTTACTTATTTTCGACCAATATTTCTTAGCCCTAGGGGTAGAGAAATAAATCGCTAAACCATACTTTTATCCCTAGATTTATTTTGTTCAGCCGTTTATCAGAATATGTAATATATAGGACTTTTCTCGAGTGGGTTATAAGAGGAATACATACTGGGGTATGTGATCACATAGTCCTACCTAGGTACTCTGTTAAGTACATAAACTAAACCCTACCAGCGCGTCTAAGATACTAAAACTGCCCTCAATGCCTATCTTACGTTGGATTCCGCACGACTCATTTTGAATCAAAGGTCTCGGTCCAACACCCAACCCATAGTTACCTAGTTTTTACATAACTACGGGTCTTGGCGGTCAAATAATTGTTAAATCAGCTAGATTATACACATGGTTAGCGTATTTACATAGTTGGTAACCCAATTTAGGGCCCCAGACCCAGTACTAGGTCGAACCCTTCGACCCTTCGACCCAACCCAGACTAGGTTGGGTCTGGGTTGGATCTGGGTTGTACTAAGTCGTGCGGAATACGAAAGGAAAGTATGAGCCGCGTAGTCATGATCTAGATTTCATTTTCACACAGATGTTATCTAGAGTAGTTCACCCAACCCATCGCAGAAAGTTGCGTACATTTCGAACCGAGTTCCACAACATATATTGTCTTGTAGCATCTAATTTCCAGGTGCCGATGAGATGCACTCAACATCTCCGAGCTGAAATGTCTATCGATTGTGCCGTAGTATCAGAATCAGAAAAAGTGTACGTGAGATCTTTACAAAGCCATGCAGTCGAGTATCCCCCAAAACCAAGTTTTCCAATGACCTGATATCTAGATTGGAAGACTTCACCGATTTTGACAGAATATGAGTCTTCTGTCGTGTATCCTGGATGCGTTTCTTCCTCAAACTTCATATCTGAATCAAGTAGTTGGATATTCGATTGAGTGAACTGCGGTACGGGTAAAGGAGCTCGATGAGAGAAAGGACGCTTGAAGAAAGAGCGCTGGAAAAACCGGCCTCTTAAGCCTCCTAGGCGACACATGGTTGATGTTTAAAGCTGAAATGCCAAACCCAAGCCAGGGGAGCGCGCTTTTAGAGTAACTATGCCCTGTCTACACTGCCTCGTTTACGTACATGCAACCTGACAAAAAGCAATTAATCCGAAGACAACCTGTCCAAAACTTCTCGGCCCTTTTCATCCAAATTCGGGTATTTTCTCAAATGACGCAGATCAGTCCAGAAATCCTTCGCATCATCATATCCTTCGCCATGTATACCCATACGCTCTCGTAGAAGCTTTTTCCACTCGGCGTCCTCCTCTGTCCACCCCCAAGAGGCCGAGACGTATTCATACCATATAGGATAATATGCAGCAAATTCCCAATCGAGAATCCCAGCCAGCCTCCCGTCTTTCACCATGATATTGCCCAAATTAAGATCACAATGAGTGAGAACGTAGGGTTCACATTTAGGCAGACGTTTCTTCAGATTGTCCAGGGCTCGTTGAGGGAACAATCTTATAGGTAGATCGTGGAGAGTAAGGCTTATAGCATCCCAGAGTTCGTTGTCGGAGTGAAAAGGTCCGTGTGGCTCGCGGTCAGAAAAGAGTAGACCCGGAAAACAAGGACTTTAATCAACGCTTTGTATAGATGTTGACGTAAAGGATTGAAGCTGCTTCCGAATTCCAATAACGTTATCTACGATATCCACTTTCTGAGATTTTGATAACGAAGACCAAGCCTTCTCGAGCGTTTGGCCTTGTATCCGCTCTAGAAGTACGAAGTATCGCCCGTTGCCGTCAACCCAGTCACGTAGGATCTTTGGAACCGGGATATTGGAGTGGGATGTAAGGTGATTCAGGGTGATCACTTCGGTTTTCGGTCCTTCGTTAGGGCGTTCTTTTAAAATAACATCAGACCCGATCGACCACACTCCCCGCCTGCTTGCACCATAGAAGAGTTTGACATGGCTCGAGTAAAAGCACTGCTCTTGCTGATCGAGCGTCCAACCACATGTGATGCAACCTTTAGATGATTCTTCTGACATCGTGGGGACAGTTAAGAAATTGATGTTTTGTAGAAGGGAAAGGGGGCTAGAGAGCTACCTAACTAGGTAGGTAGCGAACAGTAATTATTATTTGGTGTTCTATTTGTCAGAAGATCTGGGCCCGTGCCATTCGCCTCGCGCAGGTCCAATTAAATTAGAGATTCGAGAACCACAGTTTATTTTTCACTATTGCTCGTGAAACGGTCCAATATATTAAGTACAACGAACGCGAGATTTCTAGCCGGAGGGACAGCGAGTGGGTGCCACCCCGCACCCACTCCATATATATGGCAATTGACAAGTATGGCAGTGATATATCAGTAACGTATAAGCGAGTTCTGGATGGCAGAATTCAGCTCGAAGGGCATTTTCAAAACATGAAGCAAGCATAGCTCAACCACAGCTCTTTGCGGCAATGGCTTTTGGACGTAACGTCCTCGGTACATTGCGATGAAAGTCTGGAAATTGAAGTCGTCTTCAATGAGTTCCATGCTATTGGCCAACTCGATACACAAGTTATGAGCATCGCCTGGAAGGTACTTGCTAGCTGCCGGAGCCATCGAGGATATAATCCGAGGGACAAAAGCTTGCATCATAACGGCTAAGTATTCTCTGTCATCAGGAGTGCAGGGGTGGAGGTCGTCTCTTCCAAGAACCAGAACTGCGCTGTAAGACAGACTGTCAGGTCTATCAACCGTATTCGAGGATAAAGTCTTACACATAAACAAACGGATCTAGTGTTCGAAGTCCGATCCCCATTTGATGGCTACTCATTAGTATCAGTAAACGTGATGCAGAGTGTATAGTAACACCTACCTAGGGACTTCAGCCAAAACAAGGGAAGGCACCGAGACATTTTTCATCAGCCTTTCAACCAATGGCTTTGCTGGAAGAGGCCTCTCCTTTTGGCCATCCGTGATATCGTATATTCCATTGTTGAAGTGATATCGGGATGGATTATCTTCAAAAGTGTCACCCAATAAGCTTATTTATTAGAACATCCTTCCAACGATAGGGGAGTTTGGCAAACATAGCCTACATTTGACCTTCCCCACTAAACACTAGGATTTTGGCGTCAACAGACATGTGAAGTGGAATGGGTATGCCTCCATGATTTCCATGGAAGAAAAAATATCGTAAAGTCCCTTGTCCGTATTGTGAATTCATCATGTTGTGTGATGTGAGTTCCTGCTACCGTTTCTAAAAATTATGTCAAAAAGTCAAAAGGAGAGGAATGCGAGGGGTGGCCAAGTGACCACCCAAACATAATCTCTCATTGGTTATTACCTCACCGCCAATTTCATTACCGCCTTCTTGAAGCATTTGTATGTTGTATACTAATGAAAAGTTTCGTTTTTAGATACTTGCAACCCGCTATAAAATATCGAGATATCTGTAATTGTATGCTGATGAAAAGCTTTATTTTAACACTTATAACCCGCTATAAAATATCGAGATATCTACATTTGTATGCTAATGAAAGGCTTTATTTTTAAGAGTTGTAAAGGCTAACTAACTAGCAAAACTAGGCCACATTGATTATTGGTTAAGGGAGGTGTCAATCCTTCTAAGTAATTAAGGTATTTTAATCGCTAGGCTAAAGCTAGGGATCAAGGCATTAATATTTCCCACCGCTATGAATACAAAGCGTCAATTTTATAATAAATATACCAATTGATTTTATCTCCTCCTAGTATTTTAATTAATGCCCGTCTAAAATAAAGCAGAAGTTGAACTAATAATAATTCAGTCAAAGGTAGTAATCGTGGCACGGCCCACCACCACCTACCCGGTGTTGGTGGGCCCCACAAGATAGCAAATTCCCACAAAATAGCAAATTTTCACTTTTTTTCAACTTCTTACCTATTTTTTACCCCTACTACCATGTCGGATGAAAAGGAAAACGTTGAAATCCGAACTCTATAGGCCGTAGCTGCCTATGATCAGATAGATAAACCCAATTTATCTAAATTAGCGCGGGAATTTGAAATTCCCTACGGTCGGCTACGCGGTAGAATCCATAGGCGCAAGCCTAGTTCTACTACTAGAAGCTAGAGAAAAGTATTAAACCCTCTTTAAACCCGAGCAATATATTCCTAGATCAATTCTCTATATAAAGCCTATACTAACCCTACCCCTAAGCTTATTAAGCGGGCTGCAAATAGCCTACTAAAAGACCGGGTAGTTGGCTATAATTAGGTCTACCGCTTTATCGATTCACTACCCCTAAATATAATCTATATCAACCCTAAACCTACTAAAAAATCGAGGGTTAATAGCGAGGATTTTAGAGAATTATACCTATAGTTTAATAGCCTCCGGGGGTAATAAACTAATACTAATTCCTTCTAAACGAGATCTTTAATTAGAATAAAACCGGCTACTAAATTAACTAGGGGAAACGATAGAAGGTTATTGCTCCTATTAGTAGGGGTAATAACCCTACCGGTAGTTATAATAAATCAATTACCGGTGTTAAATATATATCCGCCTTTAGTTAGGTAATAATACCTTAGTTTTTACCTAAAGGTTCTATCTATATAGAGGAGTAGTATACCGATATCTCTACGCCTAATTTCCGGGTTAAACTAACCCTAAATAGCTATATCGATAATAAAACTACCTTTAAATAGCTCTATTCTTTTTATCTAGCTATAATTAGGCTAGTTTAGAAAGGTAGACTAAGGCTTTTAATAATAGATAATTATAGTTCCTATACTACTATTAAATTCTATGATTTTTATAAGTAAAAATTTATTATTCCTTTCTTCTTTTTACCCTATATAACCTATCTATACTAACCGCTAGATAGCTAGGTATTTTAATACCTAAAACACTACTACTATAAGGCTAATAGTAAGGTTGTTATATAGGGTAGAAGTACGTCTAAAAAACAGGATTTTTTCCGGATTATTAAAGACGCCTAGAAGTAAGCTTTATGTAAGAATTTACTGTTTTCAGGTGTAAGGCCTGTCAACCGGGTAAGATACGTTGGCTTGGGAGAAGGAAACAAGGGTGTATTGGGCTGTGTGTGCCAAGACTAATTCTTGCCAGAATCCAGGGGTCCCGGGGGGACCTAAGATTAAAAGGAAATGTGCGTGCTAAGGCTCGACACCGATTAGGTGACGAACCCCGCACGATTTATATACGTATTAGAAACTTCTATAAATATATATATCGCCTAAGTTCCTATTTTACCTTTAAAAGGACCTTTATCCTTTACAATTATTCCCCTTCTCCTACAAGGATATCTATATCCGAAATAGATAGTAGCTATAAAGTATTAGGGAGATATCGGTAATACTCTATAATAAAGGAGCTATAATTAGAATAGTTCCGAATCTTTATCTAATTTTTCTTATATCTTTATAGTATTAGGACTATATAGCTATAGGTATATTTATAGTAGAGAATCCTAATTTCCTAACTATCCTCGATATTTAGTATTAATTTTACTATACCCGCTATTCGTAGAAATCGAATCTATCTAAAAAATATATAGTATATAAGTTATCTTTACTCGATAATTATTTATTTTACCTCTAAAATAAGCGTAGTTCCGTTTTCTATTTAGTATTTCTTATATAAGGCTAACTTTAAAAAATACTAGTAATATAATTAATAGAAATTAGTATATAAACCCCTATTAGAAAGAATATAGGGAGATCGCGTTAAATTAATCGCGATTCTAGAGTAGGTAGCCTAATATTAGTTACCTATAAATAGATATTATATATAAGATATAATATATCTCTAAGAGATAAGTAAGGAGGTTATTAATTTAGCTAAAGACTTCGATACTACCTATAAAGTATATAAATCCGATTATAGGTTTTCGGATAAAGACTAGAAGGATTTTATAGAGGCTAAGATAGATTCTTAGAAATTATACGCTTTAGTAGTAATTCGCTAACGACCTATTTTAGTATTATAGCTATCTCGTTAGTCGCTATACGATATATTTAAATCCTATCCCGCGTCTTTTTATTTCTTCGATAGAAGAGTAGTAGAAACGGTTCTATACCGAAATAAAATAATATCTTTAAATAGAAGATAATAGTTTTATTATTTAGACTTAAAATAAGTATAATCTTTTAGTAGTAATCTAAAATATATATATCGGATACTTCGATCTTATAATACTAAGCGTTATTCTAAAAGACTTAGTAAAGGATCTAGTAGATTCTTTTCCTATTCCGCTTTTTAAATTATAGGCGGGGAGATTACGTATTAATATTATTTTAGATTTTAGTTTTTAATAGGTAGTAAATAAAAATAGAAGATATAACTTATATTTTTAGATTTAATCTATAGTTTCCTATTTTATATAGAATCCGATCTAGACCCTATCGCGTTAATAACCCTTAATTTATTTTCTTCTTATAACTCTCTATCTTCTTACTTTTTTAGATTTATATTCTTTTACTTCTTTATTATTATTTTATAGATTAATTATAATTATATCTCCTATCTATTATTTACTATATAAACTACGCTCTCTAATTTTACGCTAGTATACTTAGTATATAATATACCTATACGTTTCTATATACGAGTAGATAGATACTAATTTAGTATCTCTTTAATTCTTTATTATCCGCTACTTCGCTAAGATATATAATAGGAAGAATTATTAATACTATAATAGGTTATATAAGCCTTATAAGATAGTAAGTATTCTAAACTACTTTAGTAAGGATTCGGTACTAAATTATACTAATTTTATTTAGATCTCTAAAGATATCGAGGGGAACTACTATAAACTTTCGGTATACTTATTATAGATTTAGGACTTTTAGATAAACTCTAATAATAGCTTTAGCGAAGACGCTAAGTCTAATATTAATAATTAGGATACTATAATTATATTATAGCTACCCTATAAGCTAGTTATTAGCGTTATAACGTACGTTTAATATCTTATTATAAGCTTTAATAGTTTTATAAAGTCTTACTATTATATCTACTCTCTTCCTAGTATTTATATATCTTAGGTAAAGTATTTTCCTTTATATCTTTAGGATTTTATTCTAACTTATTACTAGGCTACTAGAGACGCTTATTCTTAGTAGGTATCTAACTATAATTTATTAATAATTCTTTTATTACCCGTTCCTATTACTACTACTAAATATAAGAAACTTACGAATAAGGTTAGTTACTACCCTCGTCTATATATAGCTAAGGAGTCGGCGTATAGCTAATATACTAGGATAATCGCCTTCCGGGATAATATATAAGAATTAGTCTAGGCTACTTAGGATAATTCCTAGATATCTAATACTATAAGATAATTCCTAGAGGCGTATCTAGCTATATTCCCTTTAGACCTATAAGTATAACGGATTAATTCCGATTTTAATTCGGCGGCTATAGCTATTTTTAGATTTTCTTCTTTCTTAGAGTTTTTTAATATTTTAATATAATTTTTAGTATATTTACTATTACGTTTTTAGGTATCTATTAATTATATTTTAATAGCTAGCTATACTATTTTACTAAATAGTATAATTTATTTTTAAATTAATAGTAATCCTTAATCTCTTCGACCTCTTATTTATTATTATCCGCTAGTTCTAATAATAATAATTATTCT